GAAGGTGAACTGAATACGGCAGAAGACTTGGAGCGCGAGCGTGAGTTGACTGTCAAGGTCATGAAGCGCATGGTCAAGGTTAGTTCCCATTCTTTTCCTATATCTGAATGCTCCCACTAACACATTCATTCTATAGGACAAACTGCTGCTACGTATCTCTGGATCCGGCCTCACTGACGATTCTACGCCCCAGCAAGATGAGGGCAAGGTTCTCTATGTTATGCATCCTGACTGTGTCTTTGAGGAAATGTGAGCCTAGACACTCTGTTTTCATCTCGTGGGCTGGTTATATGTTTCTTCTTCCATGCTGTCTTAGGGTTCTTGATTGTGTTTAGCATTTTCAACGGGTTAAATACAAGGAGCAAGGGGTTATGAGTGATGATATCCGTCTGATTTCGTCTTACGTTGTTTAATAGGACATGAATGATACTGATTTATAAATTCAACTGCCATGATCAAACTAGATTTAACATTAGTTCCCGGATGATGTAAAAGATTCGATATTAGTTATATATAGCTCTTGCAAATGTACAAGGGCCACATCTGGCCGGTAGCAACTCTTGAAGTAAATAATAGGCCGTCCCTTTGTTATAATTGCGCCCAACAGTGCATGTAACTTGATGGGATCGACTTGATAATGACTGTGGAGATCAAAGGGCGGTGAGTGCTATTAATTTGGCAGAAAGAGGCGGTGTACTGCCCATTCCAGCACTGCGGAGTGGATCTGACCAATAAACGCCTCTGAAATCTCGATAGCATCGACCATCTAAAGACAGAAAAAAAAAAGAAATACAACACCGCAACTCATCAATCATGTCGCACGTCATGGAGCATCCCTCTCGAGCCAAGAGAAGAAAGCTCGATGATCCGAACCCAGCTGAACATATTAAAATTACGTCCGCAGCCCAGCTCCGTGAGCTGTTGGCCGTCCAGCAGAATGCCCCGTTGGCGAGGCAAGGTGAGCCAGGCAAACAGCCACACGAAGCTACTAAGAAATTGACGTTATTTTAGGCATTGTCAAGTTCAAAGAGTTCCTAGTATCAATAGGACAGACAGAAAAGGATCATGATAAAGCGCAGAAATTGCGCGTCCTCAAGTCTTATTGCGACAAGCAAATCAGTACCCCCGCAAAAGAGGATGAGACTGCAGTCTGCTTCCCAGACCTCATTGCGTCGTGGGCCTTTGGCGATGGCAACAACAATGAACCCCTGTTGACGAATGTCCCTTCCGTTCTTGCTATCTTCCTCAAGACTATCTCTTCAGAATTGGAATTCCGGGATTTCGGAATCGCCCTGTGCAAGCATCTCCTGCAGAAAGATCAACTGAGGTTGTTTAACCGCGGTCTTACAGCAACTAAGTCTAAGGAGCACCTTATCTCGCCGTGTCTTCGTCTGCTCACTGAAATAGTGACTTTCGATGGTGGAGCAGTGGCGCGACAGCTGTACCTTCGCCGTTACATTACTTTCAAGCGGATGGAGGTCTTTTTAACTCCCAACAAAGCACAGGAGGCCGAGGATGAGTCTCACAAGTCAACTCTCAGACGCAATGCTCAGCGATATCTGCTTGCGAACCTGAGGGTGCAGCATGCTTCCGAGAAGGGCGATATCATTGAACAGCACAAGATCACTCGGTCTTTCCTTGAGCATATTCGGAAGGATCCTCGTGATATTGTGATGGAGATCATCAAGGCCATTGAAAGGGATGTGGTGCAAGACGCTGGTCTGTCCCGGAAGTCGAAGAGCAAGTTCTTCAACCGCAATAACCTTGAACGACTGGTTACCCTCTACGGTTATGACCGTGAATCTGATGAGCCCAATCCCGATGGAGTTTCGATTGCCAGTGAGATTCACCGCATTATGATGAACATCTGCAAGACTGCCGGACTTGGTGTGCTTTTGCCAGAGACAGGCTGGTACCCGGTTGGAACTGACCCAGAGACTCTGCCTGCCGATGATGATACATGCATTGAATTGGGGCTTGATTCTCCGATCTATGTGGATAAGTACAGAGAGTCTGTCCCCGTGCGGAACGGCTCTCTTTCTTTCCTCATCCAGTGTCTTCGACCTGATGTGGATAGTCTCCAGATTGAATTACTGGTCACAATCTTCAAGGTGGCACCAGAACTCGTCGCCGATTTCTTCACTAGAAAGACTATGTTCATTTCGGATCCGAAAGCTACGCCTTCATGGATGGCAGAGTCTGCTTTCCTCTTCTCAACTGTTCAATTGCCTGTTCCGGCCAACTGTGGTTGGAAGGATAAGCCGCCTATCCTGCCCCCGCCAGTGTCAATTGCCATTGAAAACATCCTCCCTCGTCCTCTTAGTCAAAAGATCATGACCCGCTGTCTGAACCAGAACGCCGAAATCATTACTCTATTCGCCGTCCGGATTCTGACTCTCGCTTTCACTAAGCTGCGGGCTGTTTTGAAACTTTTCCAGGGAGAACATGGGCAGGGGCAGCTGTTCTGGAACCAGGCTTCTTCCAAGTTGCTCGCGGAGTTTTCTCGCCGCTGTCCCTCTATCAAGGACGTTGTTCTTCTCTTCCGACGAACTGACAAGGAGGACTTGCAGCAACAGGAAGCTGTTGCAGAGCTTCTCACATGCTATTACGAAGTGATGCCAGACATCGCCTTGGAGGAGAACTTTGATGTTTCTCTAGTTTTGGTGGATGTATTGAAGCGATTGGAAGACAAGGACGTCGGTGCAGATGATTCCGAGTCTCTTTTGAGTCAACTGCAAAGCCTTCTTCAGATCGCCCAACAATCTGCTTCACTGCGTTGGTGGCAAAAGCCTAGCAACATGCAGTATTCACCCTTCACCTCCATTCTGAAGGTCCTTATGGATACCGCGGATAAAGACTCTTCGCGACGCATCTCTACCTTGCTTAAGACTGTTCTGGTTGAAAATTCCATCTTGCAAAGTTCCCCACATGCATTCGCGTCTGTCTTGACAAGCCTTGAGAACTCGGAGCCTGAGGCTCTGCATCATCAATTGGTCTTTTTTGACAACTGTGTTTCTCGTGTTGCTAAGAAACCTGTGCACTACATCGACATGCTTGACTCTCTTTCCAAGGATGAGTCTGGAACTGTCAGCGCTCTTGTGGCTGTCATTGTTGAACAATGGCCGTTCGTTGTAAAGAGCGGTGATGAATCAACTGAAGCTGCCGTTGGATCATGGATTGCAAGCCTTCTGGGCAACCTCAAACATGCCGGCGAAAGCACCAAGGTGCTCAAGGCTGCCCGGGATGCATTGGTTGAATCTACCGAGACTAAGAAGGTTAAGTCGCTTCTGAAAAAGTCCTTGAAGGGTACAGAGGATGCAGACACGGTCGACAAGATGGAGATTGACTCTGGCTCCAATATGCCATCATCCAAAAAGAACCCTACTGTCGACCTTGAGGAGATCTTCGGATTCCTGCCCACCGAAGGCACCACTCACAATGCCCTGCACAAGTGGGAAAGAGAAGAAGTTGAGCAAGCAGTGGAACAAGGTCGCATTGCCGAGTTGATTCTCTGCCTGTGTTCTCAGCACGAAGAAATCCGGAGACAAGCCTTTGCCAACCTTGTGCGCTTCATGGCGAAGCTCAAGGAATCTAAATACGCAGAATGGCGCACGGTCTACACCCTGACAGGAGAGCTCCTCGAGACAGTCAACACAATTGGCATGGATAAGCCCGTTCCTTGGATCGTTGGCGAATGTGCTGCAAACTGCCTTGCGGTTCTCACAAATCCCCTCCATAAAGTCTACGGCAAAGTCAACAAGTTCCTGCAGAAAGCACCATTCTGGGAAGTCGAGAAGATCCCCACATACTGGGTCGACAAGATCCTTCTCCACGAGCCTGAATTGGATGACGGCTATTTCGATGAGATCGACTGGCTGCTCGGCCTATTTGTCAAGGCGCTCCGCACCGAGGCTGTAAGTCAACTAATAATGTGCCCCCAGACTTTATAAAAGAGACACCAGCTAACACATCTAATATAGGATATGGAAGTCTACAGACGTGCAAATGTCTTTGAACGAATTCTCTCCCTTTACCAGTCCCCCACCCTCAGCCCAGCAGCTCGACGAAAGATCCTACATATCGTCTACCGTGCCGCCCAAGTCGGCGGTAGCACTACCCTGATCACCCGCTCTGGTGTCATCAGCTGGATCCAGATCCAAGTTGCCGAAGCCAATGCGAAGGAGGCTGCCCAACTCTCGGCCCTTGCAAAATCTCTGTATGAGACATGTGATCGGGAGCGTGTGGATGGCTGGAGTAATGGAACTCTTGGACGTGTCATTGATGAAATTCAGGGACAGGCATAGATGTTGGACGTCTTGTACATTAATATATTGTTTGCATTAGCACAATAGGGACTTTCAGCGTTTGAGTTTCATGCATGTATCTGTAGTATTGATTTGAGGTTATATTGCGTTGTTGTCATACATCGTCAAGCTAGGAATTCTAATAGAAACAGAAGTAGGCCGTGGATGCTGATTTAGTCACCAGACAAGATGAAAGATACGTCAAATTATTAGAAAAGCAAGACATAGATGTAGCTGTAACCTAGGTACGACTCATATCGATACACAGCTGAAAAGTGCAACTGGTGGGTTTCGCCGTTTGGCGTATCACACCAAAATCGCACGCTGGACACCTCTGCTCTACCTCCCCTCGAACACACAATCACAGCGCAACAAGTCCCAAATTTGCCTGAAATACTCCAATCTGACCGCAAGTAAGCTCAAGTGAAGGTGTTTGACAGTACGAGGTTCACACCCGAGCTCCGCCTTGAGACACCGCCATCGCCACAAGGTGGCTTGTGGGCTTCTCCTCATCCAACCTCTTTTCCCAGATACAACCATCTACGTTACCCTGCTCCCATTCACATCCTCCTAATCCTTTGATTACCTCGGAACTACCTCATCTCCTGCTACGGATTCTTATTTTTCTCAAGCCAATGAACGTATCATAATCGTGAAGAAAGCCCACACACGCACACCGTCCAAGACAGAGCCGTCATGGCGCGACGGTATGAGATCGCCGAGCTGTTATGGCTGCGAGAATCTCCCCTCGTCGCAAAGCCCTCCGGCCTGCCTCCGATTGAAGAATGGATGTATGTGGCCGCCGCTCTCAATTCCTCAGGTTGTCCCGCACTGTCCACAAAAGACTGACCGCACCATCTAGGCCCCAACCAGACCCAACAACGCAGCGCAAGCAACAAACCCCTCGTGACCCTAACAACCCAAATGAAACTGGCACGGGCCGACGGCCCAGCTTCTTCGAAGCGAAACATATCTCCCGAGGATCCAATTCAGGTGGGAATATCTCCCTTTTGTCGATTATTGGCGTCGTGATCAGTGTGTGTATGGACAAACTTGCTAATCCGACCTGCTTTCAGAGGACATTGTGCTCGGTCCTCCCAAAACTGCGTTCGCTTCATCTCGTATTGGCGGCAAAGGCTCTTTCGACTTGACACCGGAACGGCCAGTTCGGCACCCTGACACGGATGAGAAGAATGACAGATTCAACTTTCGAGATCGATTCTTCAAGGATCGCGATGCCACAGATAAAGATTTTGCTGGGCGAGAGGGGAAGCCAGGGCCACTGAATGGCCGGCGCGGGGAGAGAGAAGACTGGAATGCTGGGCGCCCGCGTCGCACATTTGGTCCAGATGATCAGGAACGCAAGCCGAGACGGAATGGCGAATTTGACCGATGGGAAAATAAGGATGGCCCTCGGGACGTCAATGCTGAACGAACCCCCCAGAAGGAGGGCAGATTCCCCCCGCGCAAAGACGGACAGACCCCACGATCTAAATATGAAGGAAGCTGGTTCCGCGATGAGAATAACGGCAATAGCAACAACCACGAGGGCGCCGAACTTGACGATGACAAACCACCGCTGCGCAACCGAGAATGGCGCCAGAACCAAACCCGACATGGCACTGAGCGCGAGTGGAACCGCGGTGCCAAATTTGAAACAGAGCCTGAATGGTTGGATGCCAACGACCGAGACGAGCCACGACGAGCACATACCCAGGAGGACTTTGAACGCTGGAAGGAGCGTATGAAGGCTGGATCGGGAGCAGCTTCGCAAGGCCCTACACAGGCCGAGGAGAAGAGAGAAGCGAATGCTGAAGCGCAAAAGGCGGAGACTCACCGTACCGATGGTGAGATCTTCAGCAATTCTGGCACTCCTTTCATGTCGGACAATTCTATGGAACGTTTCTTCGGTCTCTTGGGAGACTCAAAAGCCCAGCCCCAAGCCCAGGCTCAGGCCCCCGAGGTCAGCACTCCCAACTCCGCCGAGTCCGCCGCCAAGAAGGACCCTTTCCCCTTCCCAGGAAAACCTGGAAAATCATCTCGTTTCGCTGGCCTATTCAGCCCTATGCCAGAAAGTCCTGCCAGAGAGCCCGCACCCGAGCCCTACTTCCCCTCTCAGTCGGTACCGGCACCGGCACCGGCACCAGAGAGCATGCCTCTTCCCTCCCACAATGCCGACCAAGAAGGTTTCCAGCGCATTTTGCAGATGCTTGGAGGCCAACGATCAGGAAACTCTACGCCTCAGCAGGCAGGCCTTTCCCAGCCGAGACATTCATCGCTGCAGGCGGAGCAACAACGAGCTGCTATGGCCATGTCATCCCCCTCTAGGGAACCCCATAACCAAATGGACTTCATGGGCTCTGGTCCAGAGATTCCTCTGTCTCAAGCTGGTGTCAAGGATCCTCAGTCACTGGAGAGGGCACACTTGCTTCGCCTGATGCAGCAGGTTCGAGTCGGCCCAGCGTCTGCTGGCAACCCATCGCAGCAATCTCCCAGTTCCGGTATTGCTCTTCCCCCCGGTCTGATGCCAGAAGGCATGCCACGTCCTCCCCCTGGTCTTCCCGCGCAGAAGGCCCCAAGCTTCCTCGATGACCCGGCGATTGCGAACATGCAGCGCCCAGATAGCGAGCAACTTCGTCGCCGACCTGCTAACGGCCCGCCCGTGGGCTACTTTGATGACATGCCCTTCCCCCAGGGTAACCAAGGCCCTATGACTCCTGGCGGTCCCATGACCCCCGGTGGCTCCCGGCCTCCACAAGGTCCACACCAGCCCCCAATGGGTCTGCAGCGACCCCCGGGGCTGGACCATCTGCCTCCTCCGGGGTGGACTGGTCAGCCCGTCCCGCAACAGGGCAACGGACCAAGCCCCATGGGTCCTCCTCCCGGCATTCCCACCCCTGGCCGTGGCATGAACCCCAACTTCCCACCTGGCATGCTTCCTATGCCTGGTAACGCACCCCCGCTCAACGAGCGCCAAGCCTTCCCCCGTGGCCCGCCTCCCGGCATGATGCCTCCTCCGGGGTATATGAACGGCCCTCCGCCCGGCTTCCCTCCTATGCCACCCAACCCAGAGGCCATGATGGGACTTGGACCTGGTGGCCAGGGACCTTTCGGACCGGGCAACCCAGGACCGCAAGGCCCTCCTCCTTCGTCCCGACACCTGCTTGAAATGTTCGGCCAGCCCAACGGCGGTGACCCCCGTGGCGGTATGGTCGGGCCGGGCCCATTCAGGTAGATGGCCACGTCTTAGAAACGGATCTTGTTTACATTTCCTTGCCCATTAACTGCCACATTCGCAATTTATGATTTATCCGCGCCAGTTTTTGGAAAAGTGATGTAACCAAATGCTCAAGATCTTCGTTTCTCATCTACGCCCACCTAAACATCACAGAACGCAACCTCCTATTGAGATATCAGAATACCCTTTTCTTTTAAATGCCCCGTTTTCCTCTTCTCTTCTCATGTATTTGCTGATGCCCTTCGGCACACCGATGCCCGTGTCTGATAACTGTTCTCCACCCTCTCCCCCGCGTTTAAGCCTTTGCTGCGTTGGCTTTGGCTACCTTGGTGATTTTCTTTTTCCGCATTTCTTACCGGGGCTTTCTTTTTCCTTAGGTGTTCTTGAAGTTTCCCATAAGGGTGTGCGTTCTCGCTGTGTTTCTGGTGCTGGCTCTGTGGAATGAATCAATATAACCGTCTCATTGCGGTTAAGGAAATGCGTCGATGGAGCTCTCGGTGAATTGGTTTCTATGATCTATGATCTATGGTCTATGGCGTCTCTGGCCTTGGCTGGTTCTCGGTAGATCTATACCCCTACCATAGATGACGGTTTAGTCTCGAATCTATCTATTGCTTGGTCGGGATTCTAATCTTTGTAGCGTGATCGTAGGTCGAGTTTAGCTTTCTGCCCTGCTAGCTACCTTATTTGCGTAGTCTTGCCTGTTTCGGGCTAGGTGAGATAGACCCCTATTCAGGCGGGACTTGCAATGAAGCTGAGGATAAACCAGTCAGATATACAGTAGTACTATTGAGGCTAGTGTTAATGTTGACCATTGCTTCTGCAGAATATGTGGAGACGTTTGGCCTTGCAAATTACAAGTTTCGAGATGGATCTCGATGCCTTGAAACTAAGATTGAGATCTATTGAGTTAAATCCCTACCGAACCACTCCGAGCAATCGCAAAACCGCTTCAGATCCTGTGTCAAAAAATATGAGAAGCCCCTGAGGCTTTGTTTGTCTTAGCTTTCGCTCTGTTGTTTTTAGGAATCGACATCTTTGACAAGAGATGCATGAAAATATATCCATGGATGCTTCTTTGACCTGTAGTTTGCACAGAGTTGGCAAAATATACAAGGTTTCCTGTGCAGTTTTACTCAATAACTATTTATGGCCTGTTCCTATTCATCATCACTTGATATTGATGTCTGCTGAGATCAAAATGGTTGATACATAAGGGCTCTGTCATCCACGTGACGAGTTTTGCCCGCATCGGGATATAGAATCACAGAGACTCATGTCCTAGCGATACCCCGGCAGTACATTGTAAATCAAGTTAAGAGTAGCAATCCATCCTCTCTCTTTTCTCATGAAGATACATGCTCATCTAGGATATTGTGTTAATTGGCGTGCAAAATGATGAATTACTCTAAAAGACATCAAGGCTATTATACCTAGGTCTGTAAGTAATATCCTAGGTATTAGGCAATATATGAAGGAGATATCTAAAGCGTCATCTGCCCTTAATATAAGCAAATTTTTGGTTTGAGGAGAAATAATGATCGTTTTGCTTGGTTTCGATCTCTTCGTCGTCGCCGTCCCGACAAAGCACTCGAGGCATCACGTGCACACAGTGCCCTCGAGACATCCGATGGCTGACCATTCAAAGCAGTCGAAGATACATTCATCTGGGCTAAAGTACCTTTCATGATCCTTACCACTGCTCACATGCTGATAACGTCCAAGCAACAACGCAGTCGAACCAAGCGGTACATCACCAATATTTCCACGCAGCGCCATAATTCTTCTTCATTTGTTGGCTGTCCAATTTCCGTGCTTTATCATTGACCAAGGAAAAAAGATTTCTCTTACGAGGCTCTGTTGACCAGCTAAACGGCAAAAATGGACGTGGAAGAGCTCGAGGTCTATCTTGTGGTTGACAAGAATCTTGTAAGCAAACAAAAGATATCCCCCCAACTCACAACTTTGTGGTTCTCCAGCTGACCTCTTCCCCCCGCTTGTTTACGCTCCAGGTTGCAAGTGTTCAAACCAACTTTGTGCCCGAAGCTGTGCTAGGCTCCACGAAGGCTCCGAAGCGCGATCAGCCATTGACCATGTCGCCCAATCCTCGTGTCAAGCGCAAGCTACACTCAATGACCCTACGCTCAGAGTCGCGTCGAGCTTCCGAAGACGCTCCTGTGTCTTCATCTTCCTCCTTGTCATCTCCCTCCTCCTCTCTCATAGCAGACGGTCGACCAATTACGCATGATAACCCATCCCTGACTGGTAAGCTCTCCATATCGTCCTGGTCTATATCTCGTCTCGGGTGTTGAACGGCGTCTAATCCATCCGATACAATTAGAGGGCCCTCTATTCAGTACGACAGATAATGAGAGGCTCCCTGGGGCGTTCAACCCTTCACCCTCGATGAATTACGCAAGTCCTTTCCAATTCCCATTCACCCTAGCCAGCACCGGAAATCGGGTTTGGGCAACGCGCCGTCCAGCCAGCTACGATTTCCCCATTTACGAAGAGCCATGCGAGCGACGATCTCCCAGTCCGGTCCACGAAGACGAATACTTGGGCTTCAGTCCCCAGGATGAGGACAAGGAGAACGTATTTTCCACACGCTCTGATCTGAGCTCTTCCGACGATGAGCCCCAACAGTCTCCCACCTTGAACCAGACCGCAACTAGCCACCGCGATGCCTTTGGCATTCCACTAGCCCACCAAATCTCCGACTTCATCGAGAGCAACGACGACAACCTCGATGCAAATGTTCTAGCCCGTCCTGAACGTCAAGTGCTACGACCTATCTGGGTTCCAGAGCCAGAGGAGCCTGAAGAAATTGCTGAGCTCTACGATGATAGTATTACTCGGACTCAGATTCGGGAGATTGAGGAAGTCGAGGCGCTCTACCAGCGCGGCGATCGAAACCGTGCTCGCAACAACCGTCACGCTGCTTTCCGTCATGGCACGCCCGTTCAGGCTCGGACTAACTTCAATACTGATATTCGTCGGATTCTTGAGCCGCAGCGTCGTGAAGCTCATCGTAGCTCTCTCGATGAGGATGAGGAGGAGCATTGATATGGGATTAATACGATCTCTTGAGCTTGATCCTGTCATTGAATGATGCTTGTATGTCGGATTCACTCCGATATTAATTTTCCTGTCATTTGTTTCGATTTTGCTATCATGTTTTATCCTGTGTATGAGTAATTAGCGCATTTTTAATGTTTGTTTAGAAGCCTTTGCTCTTCCCTGATTTCTCCCGTAGACGTGGTGCATGTTTCTCTTCATGTTAGTTACTGCTTTGGCCTCTTTCCTAGCTATTTTCCAGACTTGAGCACAGGCAGGGTAGAATGACTGAGTTAGCACCGACTTGATACCGGCGGAGTAATCTATCAAGCTTAAAATCTTCAAAGATGCCCCTTTCACTGATCAACATGCGTTATGACAAAGGTGGTAAGTCATGAAGAGTCAAGGGTATTTATGACCCATATGGATTTGATGTTTCGGGCTGATTCGAGAAATTTGACATACTCTATATCCTAGCCTGTCCGTTGATCTGTCCAGGGTAGGTGCATTCGGAGTACTTTTTATGTTAAAGACAACAGTATCATGAAGGAATCAGAAATAAGAGATACCCCGACTAACGCACATCAGCCCTGAGCTTCACACAATACCTTCAGAATATCAGACGATACATTGATCTCCACCATCGTACCAATACCGTATTCCTACCAGTGCCCTTTGCCGCTCTCAATTTTGCTTTAGACTGTCATTGATATTTTTGATTCTGTAACTAGTAAGGGATAAATTGTCTTCATCAGCCTTTGCCGTAGCCAAATCTGAGCATCAATTCGAGTTAATGAGTTAATAACATAACCCAAGAAGTTTCTATTTCTTCGGTACTTCTTTTGCACCTTTGATCAAACATCTCTTCACATATCCCCGCATTATTTCGAAGTTCCTCTTTCTATTTCATATTTCTTGCTTCCTTTACTTCGTTCGAAAGTTTCCTCTCAACTGCCTACAGTGCCTTAGAATATTCTACCTCAATCAGTTTGACGTCTAATCATCACGGTCGTAAGTCCAGCACTTTATCAGCTGGTTCAATTCCCATAAAGTGCTCTTTCATTTCTCTGCACTTGCTCACTTCCTACTCACTTTCTATCTCCCGTTTCTTTCCAACCTGTTTATACTTATTTTCTCACTCTCTTCTTAACTCCATACTTTACACCTTCATCCTCTTACACCTTGCCTTCCTACATATTTCATCATCTCACACCTTTCTTCTTACACCTCATCCTCTTACAACTTTCATCCTCTTACACCTGCATCCTCCTACAGCTTCATCCTCCTACAGCTTCACCCTCCTACAGCACCCTCCTACAGCACCCTCCTACAGCACCCTCCTACAGCACCCTCCTACAGCACCCTCCTACAGCACCCTCCTACAGCTTTATCGAATATCTTCCATCCTTTTACAACATTCATCCTTACACCCTTTACTTCAAACTTTTCGAGATCTTCTTTCGATTCGAAAACTTGCTCCGACACCTCCTCTTGCTTCGCGACATTGCGCATTACTCAATATTGCTTGACTCATTCATCAATCTTGCTCTTAATATTTTCAACGCTTCCTCTTCCTTTCCCTCTTTTTTCCTCGTTTTCTCAAGAAGTCTCACCCCGCGCAGCTTTCTCTCTACTTCCACCGACGGTTTTGTACAAGACAAAATCAGCCGATCAATTACTCTCTACGCTGACTTCAATCAATTCTTTGCCCCGGACCCAAGTCACACGTGCTTTTCCCGTGAGACACTCATTGCTCGAGTTTTCAACCTCGATCCTCTTCTCACTCGGGTTTCTTTCTAGGTACCAGCCAAGGTGGCTCAATCCCGCCTTTTCATCCGATCCACAGCATGGATTCCCAAGACCAAGACCATAATAATGGTGGGTGCAGCCCCCTGTCTGTGAAACAGGAGCCAGGCGAGCCAGAAAATGGTTAGTACTGCCAAAGATATATTATGGATTTGACTAAGACTTCGAATAGCAGCTCCGAAGGCCGGAAAACTGCATTGTCCCAAGCCAAATCCTGCTCTGCTGGAGACCATTGAGGCCAACAAAGACCGACCCGAAAGCCGACCAGGCAATCTTGAGCAGGAGATGCCGAGTGAGCAGCAGGAAGAAAAGCCTCATGACAAGCAAATCTCGTTGAATACTCAAGATGAGACACCTGGGTTCGACTTATCGGGAACTCAAAACATGGGCGACAACGGGGTCAGCAATAAAAACGGCAATGGGGAAGAAGACGAAGAGGACTGGGAAACAGACAATGGACAAGACAGTGGAGAAGACGATAAGCAAAGCCGGGAGACAGACACTTCGGAATCTGCACCCAAAGATTGCAACGGCTCGAAAGACAAAGAAGAGATGCCCACGCCAAATGAAGAGCAGACATCTAAGCCAGACGAAGAGGAGACATCCAAGCTAGACGAAGGCAAGTCATCCAAGCCAGGTGAAGAGCAGACCGTCATGCCAGACGAAGACGAGGGTTCCATGCCAGACGAAGACGAGGGTTCCATGCCAGACGAAGACGATGGTTCCATGCCAGGCGAAGACGATGGTTCCAAGCATGTCCCCTCCCCGGCAAAAAAACTCCGGGATATTGTATTGAGCTAATGATATCAGATACAAAGCTACTCAAATGTGGTTCCTTCATCTGAAGAACCCCTCTCATGACGACAGAGCTCGATTTGACCTTGCAAAACAGCAAGAAGCCGCGCGAATATCCCAAATAGAAGAACAAAGGCTCCTTGATGAGGACCTCCAGCTTGAAAAGGAATTGAAAGAGCTCGATCATCTACTTGAAATTGACTCGGAAATGGAATTGCAAGAGGTGTCAACAGACGACGAGCCTCAGGAACGAGCCCCGAAAAAGCCGAGTTCAAAGCCAAAGCCAAAGCCAAAGCAAGCTACAAAGGCTCAGATATCGAAAGAAGAACTTACCAGGGCATCCGACATTGGTCTTCGGCATTTGCTTGACACGCGTGAGGAACAGCAGAGCAAAAACTCGAGTGCCAAAAAAGGTATCAAGCGTCTCTTACAACATGCGACAAAAAGGTCCACAAAAAAGACGACAAGGGTATCAAACAATGATATTGAAGGACTTTTCTACCATGATATCATCGCTAGTGCTAACGTGAATGCTTCGATGGCCGAGCTTCCTGGGTCTGATAAGAAGGACAAGTCAAAGGCCCTAGCAGAAATCATCGCCAGTCTCCCAGTCTCCGATCAAGAAAAAGCCAAATCAGACATGAAACAATGCATTGAAGCCTCAAAAGGTTCAAGCCAGCCGCGAAACTCGTGGGAAAGGCCTGGAAGATCAAAGGACTGGAAACGCACTTGTACCACTACCAGGTGAGTAATCACCAGCCTCTCACTATCTCCGAATTCGAGCATATGACTAACAAATAGAGTAGCTCCTTACTGTTGCTTGGATGGTAAATCTCAACTCTTTGTGGTCTCTGGTACAGAACGAGCTGACATGTATAGCGTGATCGCGAGAACTCTGCTGCCGCGCCAAAGGGTGGCTTGCTGTGTGATGAGATGGGCTTGGGAAAGACACTCACAGCGATAGGTGAGTATACAGAATATGGACAATTGTATTACCAGAAGGGAAGGCTTACTTTTACAGCAAATTTCGTGGAGGGACGTTCTGCAACCAACTCCGAGGGCCCGACTTTGATCGTGGTCCCCAGGAACCTGGTCACGCACTGGTTTGCCGTTCGACCTCAAAGAGAGAGTCTGAAGAAGCTAACCTCCACAGGCTCAATCAACTTACCACACACTGTGAGGGGAAATCGGTCAACCCGGTCGCGTACCATGCCGGTTCGCGAATGCGCGCCGGTAATCTAGGAGCTTGGTTTCAAGACCAGGATATTGTGTAGGATAAACCCTAACTTGGCTTATTGATTCAAACTTACAAGATCTATAGTGTTACGACATATTACGAAATTTGCAATTCATACCCGACCATGAAGCCACCAGAAGGGCTCAAAACCCCCGAAGGTATCCAAGAATGGTGGCAGCAGTTCTATGCTGAGCATCTCGGGGCCTTCCATGAAATTACGTGGCACCGCATTATTCTCGATGGTAAGCATCCAACCAGAGATTTCAATCCCTCTCCATGCTAACGCTTTGTATAGAGGCGCACGTCATCAAGAACCCGAAGTCGAAGACCTCTATTGCAGTCCGGGCCTTAAGTGCGAGTTACAAATGGGTCTTGACTGGAACTCCTCTGCACAAGTAAGTCAAAATTCCCAGTGAGGCTTAATGTTGGGTTTTAAAAAGCCGACTTCGCTTTAGTTGCATTGAGGAATTCTATCCTTACTTCGAATTCATTGGTGTCCCGGCAAGCGTCCCATACAATACCTTCGAACAAAATTACTGCAACGTTGGTCGTCTCTCACTCGTCTCAGAATAGCTGACATTGACATCGAATTTAGGGCAGCCAGTTATCCCATGATAGACTGATCGCCATGCTTCGTCTCGTGCTTCACCGAAAAACCCATGACAGCCGCATGTTCAAATTACCGCTCATACATCTTCCAGGGATTGCTCAGCAAGAAAAGCTTCTTGAGCCTAACCCAGCGGAGACTTATCTCTATGAAAGGATGCACCAGTTCTTCATCAATATGCTCAACGGTAAGACACAAGTTCCGGCAAAAAATTCACTGGTGAACAGAGACTGACACTTTACAAGGCTTGGTCTCGGACAAGGGCAAGCAGTTCAAGTGCTTTCTCACCATGATCCTCAAGCTTAGGATGTTTACAAGTCACATACTCGCTGCCCAGGACATTGTCAAGCGGGTAATTGATCAAGCTGGGGTCATCCAGAAATTGAAACACCTCGTGAATGGGCAAGGCAACTCCCCCTCGGCTAACACAATTAAGCTCCTTATTGCCATGAAGTCCAAGGTTTCGCTACCTTGGGAGTCTGCTCCCACTCGAGTTGAGGATTCGTTCGATCGACCACGACCTCCGGCAAGCAATATCAACCTCCGAGAAAAGCTGCGGGCAGAACTGGATATTCTTCATCAACGGAAAAGGTGGAATGAGCGTCTACAGCACAGTGAATGCCCTCGTTGTGGATCCCCACCCGTGGAGTCCGTTGTCCTTACCGCCTGTCTCCATCTCTATTGCGAGCAATGCTTTGACGAGCTTCCTGATGAAGATGGAAATATCGACACAGTCAGTCGTCTTTGTCGCATTTGTCAAGTGCCCATCACAGAGGCCAATTTCTACAAAGATCTATCGGACCCAGTTGAACTCCCCAAGCAGCAGTCCACGGCCCAATCTCCCGAAGCATCCTTCATGAAAAGGAAGAAATCAACACCCAAGAAGACAGCAAAGGGCAAAGCGAAGCGGCAGCGAAAAAGCCCCAAGGTCGACAAGAGACCATCAAATTTGCACATACTCGACGGCATATCAGATGAGGAATCGGATGACTCAAGCGAAGACGAAATGGATCTCAAGTCCGATTGGATTCCCCACATTGGGTATCAGATGCCCAGCACAAAGCTTGACGCAATCAAGGATCTGGTCGACAAGTGGGTGAAAGAGGACAAAAAGGTCAAAATTGTGATCTTCACACAGTTTCTGGCATCGGTAACGCTCATCGAGTATTTGTGCCAGACGAATGGCTGGGGACATACCAAGGTCAGAATCTGGAGCATTATCAGCCAGTCATCACTAACATGGTTTTTCTACATAGATGTCCGGAAAGATGTCCTTTTCGTCACGAGAAGATCAGGTCAAAGATTTCCGAGATGATGAGGATATACATGTCCTCATCTCTTCCCTGAGAACTGGTGGTGTTGGCCTCGATCTCTCTATGGCGAACAAGTGCATCATGGTCGACTTGTGGTGGAATGAAGCTGTACAAGACCAGGCAAGTCATGAAAGATGAGCTCGAAGTGTTGATATACTAACACTATTCAAAAACAGGCATACTGTCGTCTCTACCGTATCGGCCAAGTTCGCGAAGTTGAGTACGTCAAGCTAATCACGAAAGGCACCATTGATGAGCTCCTCTTTGATATTCAGAGAGGAAAGACCAAGAAAATCAACACGGTAATGAGTCAGAAGGCTCTCACGGGGACTAACTCTATGATGGAGTTACTTTCCATGTTTGGACAGGTGACCGAGACCCCCGGTGGTGCCTTTCGAATCTCGGCTTTCAATCCGGAAGAGAAAGCCAGATTCTGGGAGCCCATTCGCAAACGGAACGACACGACCTGAACAACACAAGACTCATGAAGGGGGAATGAACTATTGAGAAAATTATTGAAAAAAAGAGAAAAACGAGAAAAAGAGTGGAATGAGGAGAGAAGAGCAGGGGAGCAAGGGAGTAATTGGGGGTTGGCATTCAGTTTGCTATTTGCTATTCAGTTGCGATTTGCTATTTCAGTCCGTGTGGTGGACGGGAAAGGATGTGACATTCGACCAACTCCAGTCGCTCATTATGGCTATGCAGAGCCACTCGATATTAGAATGTCACCTGATGGAAAGTACATAGGACACTCATTTATTTTAGCTAGAAACATACGCTCGTTAATACCCACATGCTGATACATCAGGTCCGCTCTATATAGCACCGATTTTGGGTATTTCCTGCCCTTACCGCAAAGGGAGGATCTGGTAGTACTATAATAGCTGTTAACGATAGAAAAGGACCAATGTATATGTACTTTGCACTAGACATGAGATATGAATAAATTTTACATAGCGAATATTTCAGCGCAGTAAACAAATCCCGTAACTTGAACAAGTTCGAGGCACACCGTAGATGAGAAGAAGAAATAAAAACCGCTGACGATAGCGCCTTGAATGCTCGGTACCAGACCAGACCAATAAAAGACAGACAAGGAAAAGAATGGTATCACAAAAGCGGAATGAGGCAGCAGGACACAGGAGACAGGGTCGAATGAAAGAAAGCAGATGGTTCAGAAATTACTTGAAGAAACGATATTTCTTGTCTTTCTTGTCTTTCTTTTCCTTTTCTTTGTCTTTCCTATTTCCGCCGCCGGATGATACAGGGCTGCTTCCATTCGAGTTGATGGACATACCGGCCATTAGCGCTTCTGGAGGAGCGGGAGGATTCAGGTGCGCTATGGGCACGGGCTTCTTCTTCTGTTGCGGCGGGGGAGTAGGAGTTGGGGGTTTCTCGCGCTCGAAGAGGTGGGCCGGAGCGGTGGGTTTGGGTCGCTCCATTGGGAGATCAAGACGGCGTCTGTCGACGCTGAGATCACCCACTTGGCGTAGGAAGAGGCCGGGGCTCAGCATATGCGTTGTGACGAGGAAGACATCCCTGTTGTATGTCGAGGAGATCTCGTGGCAGGCGCGTGACTCGCCGTAGGTGGCGCCGCCGGCCATGAAGACGATGATACGCTGACGAGGTTGGTCGACGGATCTTGTGCGTGCCCAGGTTGGCTTTGCACTGCGCAGAGATGCCTGTTGGGACATCATTTCTTGTGCTGCTAAGGCGCTATCGGTCTCGGTATGCGGCCGCGTGAAGGGGAACACGGTTGGGTCTAGGGTGCCGCGGATCTGATCTTCGAGCATCAGCTTGATAGCCAGATCATATCGACTCAGGCTGAGCTCCTCCGATTCGGGGACTGGGTTTCGTCGGCTAAAGAGAGATTGCACTGGTGGCTTTTCGTCGCGGAGAGGCTTTTCCACTCGCACGCCAAGGAGTTCGAGGTTGGCAATGACGTTTCCGTCCTGTGGCGGGAGTCCAGCATGTGCCATGAGTTTGCGGATGTCACCACCGAGAAGTCCACCGCGGTAGATGATATACAGGAGCAGTAGGCGGAGTCGGTCTGGGGGCACGACTGAGTCGTCATCCAGGAGCTGTACGAGTTGCGCTGCCAGATTCTTTGCCTTTTTGTAGTTTTCATCAAGGCCTGTAGCAAAAGACTGTTCAATCGAGCTCACTTCCAAAAGCTTGCGGTCCTGGAAGTACTTCATACACTCTTGCGCCATGTTGAGATGCAAGGTATAGGCATTCTTCCCTTCTTGGAACTCTGTAAGTCCCGCCAACATTTCCTTGATAGTGTTTACATTGTGCTTGTCGTTGCTGCAACCCAGGTTAGTAGTCTTATTCGCATGACGCCGGGTGCTTCAAACTCACTCATCAGCGAATTGGGGGTTTGCTGCTCGGAACTTCGCAAAATCCTCACCCAATTTCCCAAGCACATCCTTCATATGCATGTGGCGGTAATCCACCCAGACACGGTCTTCCTCTCCAATTTCCATCTCCTTTACTTCCTCGTTCTTAGAGCCCTCGTTGACAACTGTCTTGTAAGTGACCTTGTCTCCATCTTTGATGGGCAGCAAGTCATGAACCATGGCTTGATATGTGAACTCATGCAGGAGAGGCGCGAAAAGGTCCATAGAGCGGTCCACTACAATTAGTACTCCCCGAGGACGGTTTGTTTGGGGCGGGAAATCGCGTTGGAATTGCGCGAATTGATCCATTTCATTTTGGATAAAACGAGCCAGGTGGGAGCACATAACACCAGCTTCGTGGGTAGGAGATCGTGGTCGATAGTATCGAATGATCGGGTATTCACCCAGCGAAGCGCAAAGCGAGACAATCTTGGTACAAGTCAGTGCAGGCTCAACTGCTTTATTCCAATCCTCCTACCTTTTGAGCCAGATCCTCCAAGTGACGTCGTATCAGATTGTTACAACCGGGGTGAAACAGGACCGGGAAGCTCCAAGGGTCCCTGAATGTGATGAGGCGTGATTCTCGGGGGTAGAAATTGATGTTCATGACGTGGAACTCCGCGATGCGCTCGCGCGCCATTTGGGATCGGTCAATACGAGCCCTCTGCTGCGGATCGAGGACTGTAAACCGTGTCAGCTATATCACAACGCGGAAACCTCGGCTGGGTAGCCCACTGACATGATGTCCACACCAAGAACGCTTTCCTGTATCGCCCAACCTCAAAGTCTGCCATCAGGCAATCCACGACGTATGACTCCGGTGACAAGATATACAGCGCGTCCATGTCGGCATTGGACGGCCGCCGGTGCTCAATCTGCTCGATGTCTGCAGGGTGGCGTTTTGTTTAGCGGAACTGTGCTTCAAGGTCAAGACACGACGTGTGCTCACTGGAGACATTGAGATTTAGAATCTCCTCTTCCTTTGCAGCACCATCGACCAATTTCTTGCTGTTCTCATCAACTACCAGGACTTTCCACTGTAAAGGAGACGCTTCCGTCAGTCTCCGCGGTAGAGGGGTCAATAGGAGGGGTCGAGCTCACGTCGCGGCCGCCGGCATTGCGGATCGTGTTGAGTATAACTAAAGGAGTTCAGGGTCAGCTAGGGCTGTGGCAAGAGGCATGAGTAGTGTAGGCCTACTGTCGCGTTGGATGTTAATTATCGAGGTGCCCATACTGGCGGGCCACAACTTGGGGCTTCAGAACAAGGCTGTAGCGGTAGAGAATAACAGTATGAGACGAATCCTTGCGAAGCTGCAGGCCAGAGACCAAGATGAGAGAGGTCCAAGGTGGCCGTCTGAGGTAAATGAAGGAGACGGGGTTCCCCACCATTTGAGCTTCGCAAGGATGTGGATCTCCGTCGATAAGCAACTTTTTTGCTTTCTTCAACCACCCGAAACACCAGCGCGTTCCCTTTATTTCTTCATTATCGCACTCAGTCTCATCGTTTCTTTGACTGGAATTGAAATCCTAGGAATGCAGCCATGGACCGGAGGTAGTTCCTTGTTCTGCGCTCTGCGGCCCTTGACTCGATCTGCTGTACGATCATTCACAACCACCTCCGTCCTTCAGCGATCAAAGAAATCAAGGAAGCCCGATCCTCAACATGGATACCCAGTGGCAATCGGGAAATCTCACAAGGTTTGTTCTCTTCCGTCCCATACCATAGCACTATTCTGATCCATTGCCTACCTAGACACTTTTCGGTCAACCCGTAGGAGCAGCCGTTCGACAAGATATTGCAGCCGCGAAGGGATTCGCACAAGTGGTGGAAACTGCGCTACGCGATCTACAGCACAAGCTGAAACAAACAGGAGATTCACAGGAGGGGTGGGCCCAATTCGAACGTCAGATCCTAACCGCGTGCAAAGCGGATGATTCCAAGTTGAAAAATACCTGGGGTCCACTTCGGTCTACAAAGGTAGCGCTGCAGAGGGCATATCTCGCCTCTGGGACACATGGTCTGCGGGATGAGTTGCAATACATGCTTTACGCAGACAACCTCACTGCCAAGTTTTCGACACCCCTCTTGGAAGCGCAAAAACAAGTGACCGACCTTCGATACCCAGCCGAATGGTATCCGCGCGCCCGATCGATCCAACGAACAATCCACCTCCACGTCGGGCCGACAAATTCCGGAAAGACATATCATGCTCTTCAACGGCTGAGAAACAGTAAAAATGGCTTTTACGCAGGCCCATTGAGATTGCTCGCACAAGAAGTATACCATCGGTTCCAGTCAGAAGGAATTCCGACTAGTCTTGTTACTGGAGATGACGTGAAGATTCCCGAGAACGATGTAGTGCCGCGCATTGTGAGCAACACGGTAGAGATGGTCAGTCTAGGCCAGAACTACGATGTTGGCGTTATCGATGAGATCCAGATGATCGCCAATTCCACCCGTGGATGGGCGTGGACTCGGGCTTTCCTGGGATGCCAGGCCGAAGAACTGCACGTGTGTGGTGAAACCCGTGCAGTGCCATTGATTCGGGAGCTTTGTGCGCTCACTGGAGATCTTTTGGAGATCCACCGCTATGATCGCCTGAACGGTCTGGAAGTGATGCCACGCAGTCTGAAAGGTAATCTGCATAACCTTCAGAAGGGTGACTGTGTTGTCGTCTTCTCCCGAAAGGGTATCCACGCCATGAAAGCGAACATTGAGAAGACCACTGGAAGACGCGCAGCTATCGTCTATGGTGGTCTGCCAGCAGAGATTCGGACGCAGCAGGCGAACCTATTCAACGACCCGGATAATGATTATGATTTCCTCGTGGCAAGTGATGCCATTGGTATGGGTCTTAACTTGTGAGTTCCTCCCTTGATTTGAATTATGTTCCATACTGACCCACTGTAGGAGCTGCAAGCGTATTATTTTCGACACCCTCGTCAAGCGTACTCCGACTGGCCTTCAACGGCTTACCGTGCCTGAGATCAAACAGATCGGCGGACGTGCTGGTAGATACCGCCCAGCCAATGCCAAAGAAGGAAGTGATGACGGGGCCAATGTGGGATAT